TTTTTAGGTGTACTAAATTTTTGAAGCTGTCTAAGTGGGGGAGTTTGGTTTCTGTGGGGTTTTTTGTCTTTCAAAAAGCTTTATGGAGTTGCAGAGTTTCAGTGGACCAGGATGAACTATCAGTTGTACGTTGCAGGGAGTGGAGGATAGGGCTGAGTAAGTTCATCCCATTATTTCTCAGAGTTTAGATATTCATATTTTAAACCTGAATATTGTAGTACACTGTGTTAGGAAGCTGAATGCTTTGCTAGCAGAGCACTTACAGATTCAATGCTGTTTTCCTGGCAGTGTTTCTCCTGTGTAATAAATACACCTGAAAACCATAGCAGTAAAAATGCAGCTTTGAAGTAGCTGAGCCCATCCATAGGACTGTGTCCATAGGATCAGTCTTTTTAGACCCTTGCCAACACATGTATGTGGCACAAACACCACCAGTATCTTACTACAAGTAATGCTGGGAAGAGTTTCTTCTACTATGCTGGGGTTTTGACTTAAGCTACATTTGGTTGGAAGTGACTTCTAGCAATGTAGAAAAGTGTGCAGCTTAATCCAAGTGAAACTTCATTTTATTCAGTGAAATGAGGAATAAATGTACAAGAATTATTCTACTGCCATAGAGACCTCAGTGCAACAGTAGCTTTTAAAGGTGGCCAGAGAACCAGAAAGTGAACTAGAAGATTTTAAATGCTTTCAAAAAGATGTCACTGAGTGTGAAGAATCACGATAAACTTGGGTTTTTAAAAACTAATGGCCTGCATGTGTATGTAAACTTGGAGCACACAGGTAAGCCTGCTTGCCAGTATGGGCATTTTGCCACTATATATTTTGAGAGGAATCAGGACCTCCTATCAGAAAAGTGTTTGAGGGTTTTTTATTCCCCTCCCTGGTATCCATATCAGTTTCACTTGGCTTTTTCTCTTATGAGTTATTAATACTTGAGGTATGTAAATGCTGGGTATGGATGGGAGTGTAATCGTATCCAGAATTTTATGGTGTAGCTTATTGACTGAGGGGGAACTGCACTGACAAAGGCTTTTTTTTCTCCATCTGGTTTAAGGACTTTTCTGGAAAAGTTGTTTCTAGTGTAAACTTGGTGGGAAGTAACATCAATATAAAATGATAGTGTGTAATATCTCTTCAGGTGAGAGATTACCCTGTATTGAATTTTCCTTAGGGCCTTTGCAGGTTTTTTTTTCCCCCCTGATTTAAAGGTTTTGCGGAGAATAAGCAAGGCTTGGACATGCCTGGGAGGAGAGGGAGCTTCTGAGAAGTGGTTTTGTTGTGTTTGGGGAGGGAAATCTGTCTGGGGCTGCCCCAGGACATGTGATGGAGGGTGACTTAAAACCTAGGATGTATTTTCACAGCTGTTATGAGAGCTTTTTCCATTTAACGCAGCACAGATGTGAATGATAAAATATAAATTGAAGATTAATGTACACCATCTTGGTATGTGAGAGGTTCAATTATAGGCAGAGCAAGCAGAATAATGGAAAATACATTTGAGTGATTGTTCAGTTAATATAATTTGCAATGAATTATTCACAACAATTTGTTCACCCAGCTCCTATTGTAATAATTTTCGTTCTTTCATTTGCTAGGCGTTCGAAACTGCTTCCCACAACTTGTGCTTGACATGTAATAAAGTATATCCACGCATCCAGCCCCTTCTCCCCACCACCCCCCACCTACGCACAAAGGAGGACAGATTTTAAAGAGCTCAGCATTTTAGGTACTGAGCTCTCTTTAAGAAGTTAATCGTAAGCATTGAAGTGGAGGCTGCTGCTGCTGATGTGATTCATAAAAGCCCATTTTGTTGGGCTCAAAGTGACCTCGGCTCGCAGAGGACCCATTTCAGTGCTATATGTTGTGTATATAGGAGGGATCTTCCTTTCACGAGTGATGTGCTGAAGCTTGTGCTGCCAGAAGGTGATCAGCTGGCATTGAGTGATTAATCTGCATCCTTGCGAGCTGAAGCATACCCTTCCTACCTGTACAGCATTGCTCATGCCTGGAGGTGGGAGACGAAGGTGTTGGGCTTCGCAGCGAGGCGTGTGGCACTGGCAGGCTTGAAGAGAAGGACTTCTCTTGCTCAGGTCCCTGTCTCTTATGTTGCACAATAAGCAGCAGAGCAGGTCGGTGGCAGTGCTGCAGCCCTGGAGCTGAGGGGCTGGCCTACAGAGCATCACAGTTATGCCACCTCTTTCCTATTCTTAAGGCACTGGAAAACCCAAAAATGCACATTTCCCCTGAAGTCCATCAAAAAGGAGGGCTTGTTCTTCCTGGCCACGTGGGAGGGCAGGAGGTTTTCAGTCAACCTGTTCTCAGGTAGCGGGCATGAGGAAGGTGTCCATGTCCTCTCTCCATGTCCCTCTGTAGGTCTGTCTGCAGGGAGCTGGGGGTGACAAAGCTGCCACCCTGTGCTCTACTGCTGTGTGTGGTGGGTAGGACCTGAGGCTGCGTTCTGCTACGAGCTTGGTGGGACCCTGGGTAAATCCCCTCACTTGTAAAAAGAACATGCAACAGAAAACTGCAGTTCTTGGAGGCTTCTGCCTAGCTGTTGGGATTTGTTGTCTGGAGCATGAGGAACACTGAAAGCAGCATCCCTCTGACTTTGGAGAAAAGAACCAGGACTTTTTGCTGCACAGCTCTGTGCTCCTCTTGAACTCCGAAATGCAAACTTCAGCTTAGGGCTGGTTGGAAAGGAGTTTGATCTCTTCTTCAAGCTGTGTTTGCCTGGACTCGTCAGTACCACATCCATACCTGGCTTCATTACCTGACTTTTCTGTGCTCAAGTCTGGTGTCTTTTGCCGTTGTTGGTCTTCAGTGTGTTGAGAGATACTGGGAAATGTCTTGAGGGCTGTGGTGAGCCAGTCCTGAGGGCAGATGGGAGCCAGGAGCAGATGCACTGTGAATGTGAAGACTGCTGCAGGGGACAGTGGAGAATTCAAAGCTGCTTTAGGGTAAGATAAATCCTTGTCTGAATCTTAACCTTTCAAGGACACTTACGAGCTCTGTCAAGCAATGATTGCAGAGCCTTCAACATAAAACCTGATACTCATTAACAAGCTAGGATTTATGCTACTGCTTCTTCCCATGGTGGGACAGCACTTGTAAGAGTTATCTGCCAGCATCTACTTATTCAAAACTCCATAATCAGGCAAAACTTGATTATGGAGCTTCATGTAATTAGTATGCAATGGCTCTTAAATGACTGAGATTGAATTAAAACCCTAATGGCAGAACATCCAAAGTAAGAAAGAGACAACCAGATCCACTGGTGAAAGACTCGCCTATCACTCAGCTTGGATTAGGAGAGCAGGAGCTTCGGGCTGGCCAAAACAGTAGAAGCACAGTCATTAAATTGGATATACTGGCTGGGGTTCAGCGCTCTTATTACTGTCAAGCATGTGAGTGTAGGCGTGGGCTTCCTGCACTGGCTTTTGAGCTGGAAAAAACTCACTCTTTGGACTTGCCGCGGTGGGGGATGTTTTGTTCTTTGTTGTATTCTGCTGTTTTTGTATCAGTTTCATTGAGCAGGTGTCAATGCCTTGAAAAGCGAACGTAAATTCCAGCGTTCATTTTGGGTGGAGTGAAACAATCCTGTGATACAATGTTTTATTTCATTTGAGTCCGGTTTTACCTTCCTTTTTGATGCCAATCTAACTGGTGGCTCCCAAACAACAACTTTGGTTTTGATTTGTGTTTCTTGCAAGTGCATTTTCCAGATCTTTTAAACATAGCTTCATAAATCAGCATTGATGTCATTGTGGACGTGTTCTCTGTGTTCTGCTTTGGATGCCAGAAGTGCTGTGTCCCCAGGGACAGCCCTGTTGTGCTGGGGAAAAGAGCTCCCTCTAACAGTAGGACAGGGACTGGTCTAAAGCAGCAGAAGCAGAGGCTGCAGCAGGATGCTTTGGGACTCACCAGCCTTTTGCAGTCTCTTTGATTACCAGCTCTGAAGATGGTTATTGCCCTTTTAGTTTCATTATTGTTCCCTATTTTTTGGCTCTGGTTACTCGTAATGGTTGCATCTTTTCCAACAAATAAGATGAGACTGAAATATTTGTTGCTACCCTGGCCCCAGGGAGATGATTATGAACCTCTGGCTTGTGCCTGTGCTGTCAGTGACATTTGAGGTGAGAAAAGCATTAGGCAGTGAATTCTCTGGAGAAATGGCAGAGAGTGAACAAGTAAACAACAGAAGATGGGTATAGATCATCAAGATCTGTCAGTGGTGTTGAATTTGAAGGGTTCCTGGTGTAACAGCCTTATTGCTGTTACTCTGTGCAAGATCTGTACCTCAGAGCAAACTTTATCTTTTATCTAGAGGCTAATGGCTTTTCATGTGTTTCAGAAATTTCCATTTTAATGGAATAAATCTTATCCTTTCCCTCTAAGGCAGTAATAAAAAAATAAGGCCTCTAGGAAGTTTTCTTCAAATACCCAACAGTTCACATCAAGTGTCTAAAGCAACCCCAATGTATTTTAGATGCGTCAGGCCCCTGAATATATTTGGCTTCTTGTCCCAGGTACTTTTTGAGGCAAGACCTCATCTCCCCCACAGTGAGATCTCTCTTTCGGTTGTAACTCAGGACCTCAAAATCCCAGATTGCTTTTGAGCTCTCCTGGGCTGCAATGTGCAGAGACTGCACTCAGATGCTGCAAAGCACAAGATAAAACTGTAGATTGTTCCAGCACAACCCTATGAAAATGATAGCTCTAATAGCAAAGTCTCCTTTGGAAGCTGGGGGAAAATTGTATGCTGGTGCTCTCTGCTGGATAAACCCAAGAAAGCCATTTTCTCTCTGGCACTGCGGTGACTGCAGGTTCATGCCACTGTTGAGCTCTTGGCTGCGAGGTCTCCTGCAGCTCTGCCTGTGCTGGGACACCCTGACTGTGCAAGTTGCCTTTATCTTGAACCTGGCCAGTGTTAGCCGAGAGCAAGAGATGCGTTGGGGTTACTGCTCTGACTCCTTTCCTCCTGTCTCCTTCCCTTACAGTGTGTTACCTGCTGAAGAGCAACATCAGCCCAGACCTGTGCAATGAAGATGGATTAACTGCACTGCATCAGGTGAGGTGTGGGACAAGGTCCCAGCTCCCTGCCACTCCGCGCTCCTCTGAGCAGATCAGTCAGGGAGAACAGAGAAAGCTCCTGTATTTCATTTTGTAGCTCAACAACAATGAAACAGTTAAAAAAGCAGTTAAAGCAGTGAAACTTCACTACATTGTGCTGGCGATCCTGTTTCTAGAGGAGCAAACTGAGATCAAACCTTTCTCTTGCTGTATTCCAGACTTTATTCGGTGATAAGAGCTCAGGAATCAAGGCTGGATTTCAGATGTGAACACTTCTCCCACCTTTTCATCTTTGCAGGGCTGGGATATAAATTCTTCAAGTTGATTCACTCAAATTTAGAGACTTTGGCAGTTCATGAATCTTGAACCTGGTTTAGGTAAATGATGCACAGGATGCTTGGGGAGCCTGCTGCTGCTCTCTGGAGACTCAGGGACTTCCAAAAGTCTGTTAGAGATGGCAGTGGCTGATCGCCAGTAACATACAGACTTGCCATAGTTGTATGTAAGCCTGTGTGCTTCCTCAGAGCCTCTGCACTGATCCCATAATGGTTTTTCTATTCTTCTTCCTAAGGCTCCCACCATTCCTTGTGAGCCCTGATTTTCAGTGTGAAAGCACCAGGAGAGGCAGCCTGCAGCAGGCCCGTGGGACTCGCCGTGCCTGGCAGCTGCCGCCTCCGCTGCTGCAAAAAACAGTGGCGCGGTTGTCACATTCACTCCGAGGGCGGAACAGGGACTTGTGGTTTTCTCGCCATGAGTCCCTGCTATAAATGCTTCCATTGACTTGAGATTTTGGATTCTTCTGCAAGTCGCTTGCTTTTTTTCCAAGCTGGATGAATGTTTGCTTAAAAATGCAAACTGGCTTCTGGAAGAATAAAAGGTCCCCACCACTCCAAAGAGATGTTTTTCTGTGCGCAGAAAAACACTGGCAGCTTCATTGCTAGGTACTGAAGCCATGAAGAATCCCACCTTGCCCGCTGAAGGCTCAGGTATTATAAAGGTGCATTTGGGAGTTGAGGTGGGAACTATGTATCCACTAGAATTAATCAAATCCCTGAACAGAGAGAAGCTCCTAAGTGAACACTACCACCCATTAGCAGTGGCTTTCAGCAAAGGATGCAGTTACACTTCTGTGATAACTTGGCTGTGTGACAGGCATGGTTTTAACCTCACTTCTGCACACAAATAGTAAACAGAAATAGAAATACATGAAAGGTTCTTGTCACTCAGCTGCTAAAATGCTTGATGTGGGGTGTAGTTCTGCCCCAGTACAAGCCCACACTGCAGTGCGAGTGGTGAATTTCCTGTGTGGGTCTGCAGTAATGCACAGTCCGTGAACAGGCTTCTCGCACAAGAATGAGTCTTATTTTAGTGTCTTTATCATATGCACATTTATGACAAGAAGTAAGCACAAGGTGGATCAAAGAGCGAATTCCACCTCCACCAAAGGAAGGCGATTGAGGCCATTCTTGCAGCTGCCTCTGGGTCTGTGGTGTGGATGCATCGCGGATGCTGATTTTTTTTCAAGAAATTAAAGCTACCCCGTGAAGTACCTCATAATTTGGGAATCCAACTTGCATCTTTTCCGATAACTGTGGTAGGTAGTGTGAGCTGCTGGGAAGACTTTTACTCATCATGTGCCCATGTGTGGGATTTTCTCTAAGAAAAGGGAATGTCAGCTTGTCAGCTCATCCCTTGGTATGTGGTTATACTGGTTACCTTGAATTTCTGCTATGTTTACTCTTGAATATGGAAGACCCAGTGGAACAGAAGCTGTGCACATATTTGCTATTATTCCCTGCTGGTTCTGCCCTCAAACCCTGTAAACACCAGTGACCTTCGGTCTGTCCAGTGTAGGTGTTCGGCATGGTGCCTTTCTGTCCTGCTTGTGCTCAATTTAGTGTTTAACTCTGTTGGAGATGCTTGTTACCAAACACTGAAGGATAAAGTAGGTCTCCACATTCAGATACAATTGAGCAGGTATGAGCCCTCATCTTCACAAAATTTTAAAAAAAACAATCTGTCTGTATCTGTTCCTTACCAGTGCTGCATAGACAACTATGAAGAGATAGTCAAGGTTCTCCTCAACCACGGGGCCAATGTCAACGCAAAGGACAACGAGCTGTGGACTCCATTGCATGCAGCAGCTACGTGTGGTCATATCAACCTGGTGAAGATCCTCATCCAGCAGTAGGTGGCTTTTTGTGTCTGTCCCTTTCTGCAGATCTGATTCTATCACCACAGCTGCGGTGGATGGAAACTGAGACTGCTTGGTACCTTGTGAGATTGCAGTGGTGGTGATTATTCCCTGCTTTCAAGCTATTCATGGGACTCCTTCCTGCTTGGGGGAGAAAGGGGTGGAGGAGGAAGAGCATAAAGACTGAAGAGACACAGTAAAACCCCAGGTGTCTTGACTCAGTGTCATGAAGCTTTTGGAGACTGAGCCAAGCCTGTGTTCTGGTGTGTACGCGTCTGTTTGTGCTTGTTGAACCACGCTCGCTGGATGGGTAGAAATAGAAGCAGCCAGCGGGATCCACCCTCAAGCTCTCAAACACAACTTCAGGTCTTCCAGACGCAAAGAGACACTGATGTGGGAGGACATCAGCATGTTTGTATAGCTCAAATACTTGGGTGAACTTTGTGACCCATCTTATTAGTTCTTAATTAGCAACTAGTTAGCTTCTTGTAAGGTGTTTGTTCCCCAGTGGTGTGACACAGGGTGCTTGCATTGTACCTTCCACTTGACTTTACTGAGGCCCTAAAGGTCAAGTCTTTTCTAGACTTGCCAGCAAGGAGGAGGAAGCCAGATGTGTTTTGGGTTGTACCATGCGCAGCGTTTGATGAGCACTTGCTGTGAATCCTGTCTGGAGCAGATAGTCGTGACTCTGTATGAAGCCCTCTTCTCCATTGCCTGGAGTGATGGTGTAGAGAGCAGAGTGTGCTTTGGGAGTGTTGACATGCTGCCTTGCACAGCAGTCCTTGCTGCTTCTCCCTTGGGGAGGGAGACTTCTCCCTGTGATGCTGTCATTTGGCCCTTCTTTGACCGTATAATGAAGGAAGTGGAGCAGAGAGTCCACACAGTTGTCCCTTTGAGGACATTCCTACTTGAGCTAGGAAATTTTTTGATGAGGGGCTTAAAAATGGTGCAACAAATGTGGAACAATATAGTGCATTCCTGACTCTTAACTGAAGATAAGGGAGTGTCATGGTGGCAGGGTTAGAAACTGGAATTTATGACTCTAGTTTTCATAGACTGCCCTGTGTTGAGTAGTTGCCAGCAAATTTGAACTCATGATCACATGCTCAGAAACAGTCTTCCCCTGGACTTCTGTGGAATGAAGAGATTTAAGTTGTTTGCTACAATCAAAGATGTACTTTATGGGAGGTGTCACATATCAAACCACTGGTTAAGCAGTGCCGTTGAAGGCAGCTTTAGTGGTGATGGGACCTGGAACACTTGGACACCATCAGAGGAAGTAGCCCACAGATCCAATTCCTTTCTTTTTTATTTGCTGATTAACCTAATGCTGGTACTTTGCAAATGTGAATTTCAATGTAGTTTGCTTTGCTCAGGCAGAAAGGAAGAAAATAAATAAATAGGAATCGAAATGCAAATGGATACTGTCTGCTGTTCTTCCGTGGCTGGTAACTGTCAAGGTAGATCAGAATTCAGCTGAAATTATTTAACAGCTAGCTAAAATGGCACAGTTCAGAAGATACTGGAAATTTTGTACTGTGTGGGAATATGGGGACAGTGATCAATTCAGCTGGCAATTTTACTTCCAAATAGTGACATCGCAGGTGTCACTAAAGCACTTAGACAAGGGCTTTTGGGTAATCGGAAAGAAAGATTCCCCAGTTGACAGGATATTTTTTATTACTGTTTTTTGCCAATGTGCCCTTGGCTAGATGGAAGGCTCCCTCCTATTACCTCTCTGGAAGGCTCTCCTCCCTACTATTCAGCCTGTATCTTTCCCAGCTTTGCTGGTCCTTGTGAACTTTTCATTGAAGGACTGCCAGATGCCTAGATAACAAGCACCTGGTAGTTGCTTGGCGTTGTTATCCAGAAATGCAGCAAATAAATCACTTCTACCATTGAGAAACTGCCAGTCTGTCCAGTGCCAGGACCAGGAGCGGACAGGAACAGCTCAGTGGCGCATGTGTCCCACAGCCCATGAAGGAGGTGTAGCATTGCTGCCTTTTGCCCACTTCACAGAATCACAGAATCACAGAACGTTAGGGATTGGAAGGGACCTCAAAAGATCATCTAGTCCAATCCCCCTGCCGGAGCAGGAACGCCTAGATGAGGTTGCACAGGAAGGCGTCCAGGCGGGTTTTGAATGTCTCCAGAGAAGGAGACTCCACAACCTCTCTGGGCAGCCTGTTCCAGTGCTCTGTCACCCTCACTGAGAAGAAGTTTCTTCTCAAATTTAAGTGGAACCTCCTGTGGGATTTCTTGCATCTTTCTTCTGGTATTTATCTTCCCCATTCATAGCTCCATGGCTTTGCTTCACATCTTTCTTATCCCACACAAATCTTGGTGACATTTGGGCAACTATTAAAGCCCAGTTATTTTTTGCTAAGCAATTTTCCCTGTGTTTGGCACAGTCTGCTCTAGGATGTCTCCAGTCCTTTCTTGTGTAACACTGCTTTCTCCTTGCAGTGGAGCAGACTTGTTGGCAGTGAATGCAGATGGCAACATGCCGTATGACCTCTGTGAAGATGAGCCAACTCTGGATGTCATTGAGACTTGCATGGCCTATCAAGGTAAGGAGGTTGAGTTCATGTAAAATACAAAAATGGGTCAATGCAGTACTAAAAATTACCTTGTTTCTCAGCTCTTGATTGGCCTTTGGAGGAAAGCAGAGAGCTGCTGCCTGGCTTAGTTTCTTGGAACATGACTCTGCCTGATTTTTCTGCTTCCTAAGTAATGATGAGGGTGAAGGACAGCTATCAGTACTGTCACCTTCACAGCCTCTGAAAAGGATGTGAGGTCATATCAACCAGGAATTATTTAGCCTAATTTTACTCAACCAGTGGAGACAAAGACACTTTCCAGCTCTTCTCTCTCTGACTGGGATTTGTACAGGAATTACACAGGAAAGGATCAATGAGATGCGAGCTGCTCCAGAGCAGGTGATGATCTGTGACATTCATGACATACTTGCGACTGGACAAGACCTGAACAGGACTGATGCCCAAGGTGCTACGCTGGTGAGTGAAACTGCTGCAGCTTCACTTTTGCCTGCCTTCAGCCCTTAGGTTACAAAACCCGCCCTGTGACAGGAGTTATACAAAATCAACATGTACAATCACTGAGAGGAGCAAGGAAGCTATTTTTATCTTTTTCCCTGTTCTAGTTTATTGTCACGTAGGAGCAGGCTCTGTCCATGAGTACAGCTGACATAACTTAGTGTCTAACCCTGCACTTTTTGAAGTTAATCCCTTGTTTATGTGAGCTCTGTGAGTTGTCCAGCAGCTCAAGTCCTGCAGCAAGGCTGCTGAGCTCCTGGGTCTGGTCTGACAGTGGCTGGAACCAGCAGCTTTCAAAGAAAGATGCAAGAAATCCCACAATGAGGAGCTACAGAACATAGTGCTTCTGCTGACCTCCAGGGAAATGGGACTGAACGACCTCCTGGTAATCTCTTGCTTCTCATTAGTGTTGTAGTCTGATCTGACTCCCACGGAGGAGACCTGAGGTGAGAGTCCTCTGATTTTCATGAGAGCAGGATCTGGTGCTGGACACTCTGGAGACTTTCTGCCTCCTCTTCTTTCTGCTTTGCATAGCATCTGGCTCGTTCAGAGCCGATGGAGTGCTGTGTTTATGCACGTAGGATGACATCTGCCCCTGGGCAGAGGAGAGCACCCAGGACAAATGTACGGCACAGGGCAAGCTGGCATCTCATTTGACTGGACAGGGACTGAGAAGGCTGAACAGTCCTAGTCCCATTGCCTTCTTTTTTTACCTACAAATGTGTCTCTTAAATCCTTGCTTACAACAGCCTTAACCTAGGGGAAGATTCAATAGCGCTGTCATATATGTTGGGACTTTCATACAACCTCGGTCATTTGATGCTTGGGTCCAGACATAACTGATCTCCAGCTCACTTGGTGTCATTTGTTTGTTGGCCAGACTGTTGCAGTGCATTCAGGTTTCTTAATCTAAATTGTAACCTATAGCATATACCAGACGTGTAAGAGGAGGGCAGGCTCTCACCAAGGTAAACTTGGATGACTGAAGCTTTTATTGTAGTTTATTTTTGTAAACGTGTTTTTCCCTTTAACAAGGATTATATACATAAATTTAAGCAGACCTCTTGGCTTCCCTTTTCATATCACCCCCAAGTGATTCCTCATTAATTCATATGGCCTCTAGAGTGTATGACCCAGTGCCATAAAATTTATGTAGAAATTAATTGAACTGCCAGAAAGCATCTGAATTTATTTCCAGATGAGGGCTTAACTTTGTGTGGTGGAATCCACATGGAAATTTTTGAAAAGAAGCTTTCATTCTCACAGCTGAAATAAGATGAGCTCTGAGTGGAGTTCATAGCTTCAGAGCAGTCAATGTTTTGCTTAGAGATGCAACAGCAGGCCGCAATTATGAAAATCTTCAGAGACATGAAGTGTTATGGGGGACTAAAGCAGACTATTATTGATGTCTCCAAAATGCTGGTTGTAGTTGGAAAACAGTATCTGAAAAATCATATTCCCTTAACTGAAAGTAGCTAAGGATTAAACTGATGTTTTTTTATTATTATTTTCAAATTGTGAAAATAATTAGTGTGTGTAGAAGTGCAATTGCACGAGGAGTGTCCTGACTAAAGCAGGCTGAAAAATTGATTTTAAAAAATCACATCCACAGCACTTCAGTGGGAAAGAGGAGACATTATTCTGGCATGAAGAATGCAGAGTTTATAGTGGATGATGTTCTCCATTGCAGGGTTGAGTTTTGATGGTGCTGGTTCCCTACAGATTGGGAAAGACTTGAGAGCCCTTGATTTAAAATGTGAAAATGTTATGTTTCTAACTCATATATGCAAGTTATTTTAAGAACTGTTAAGCAGTTTCCTCTCCAAACAGAATTATGTGCAGGTATAACTGAGTTTTAGTAACGGGAACAACCTGCTTTTGACTTGATGCCATCTGCCAAATGAAAGATGTGGTGCCTGCCCAGATTTAGACTCAGACGTTATCAAAGAAATTCCACTGCAACTTAGTGTACAAAATCATTCATGGTCCTTGCAGGTGGCTTATGCTCTGTTCCTTATCTCCTAGCTGCATATAGCTGCAGCCAATGGTTATCTGCATGCAGCTGAAGTCCTTCTTGACCAAGGGGCAAGCCTGGATGTTAAGGACTGGGATGGCTGGGAACCTCTTCATGCTGCTGCTTTCTGGGGACAGGTAACGATTTTGTTGCAAATGTCATGTGTGAGGGTCACATTTCTTTCTGCCTGGACAAATTGTGGAGTACTCTGCAAATGGAAGAAATCTGTACTAGGGCTGGACAGCATCAGATGAGGTCCTTGGGGCCCCAAAAAGAACCTGCTGCTGAGGAAGTTCAGGGAGGATGTGTCTGTGCGTTCGAATGGTAGGAACAGTGTTCAGCATCACACATGTACCAGAATAATTTGAGGCAAGTTATGGATGTCTGCCATTGCTTCTTATGTTATTCCCAATTTTCAGCTTTGAGGAGGAAAACAAATGCCTAAAATACTTCTACAAACTTGGCCTTCTTTCCTTTTCTTTAGATGCAGATGGCAGAGTTGCTTGTGTCCCATGGGGCTAGTTTGAGTGCCAGGACATCTTTGGATGAGATGCCAATAGGTGAGTTTACTAAGCTTAAAAAACCCAAATTGCTAAGAAAAGCATGCTGGAGTCTTCACATGGTGCTTTCAGAAACATTAACATCATTTTTCAGATGTCTTTAGTCAGTTGCAGTTACTTTAACTGGGACTGAAGTTTCAAAGCGCCTACGTTGTTACTTCTGAAAACACTTCTTCTGTTCATGAAAACAAGGGAGAAGGTATTTCTCAAGCACCAAGGCTTTCTCCTGTGTGTTTCCACTCACATTATCCCTCTGTACATGTACTTGGGAGTCTCCCTGATCTTACATTGTCATCTTGGACCTGAGTAGTTGTTGAGTGAAGCCCTAAGAAGGCTAAGCCCTAGGTATCTAAATTTGCTTTGATGCAGTGAAGTGTGGTGAGCTATAAGGGGTTGGAGAGGAAAGAGAAAGTACACACAAGTCTTGGCACAGATTGAAAGTAAAAATACCAGCATCTGACCATGCGTATTATAACCTTGTGCCACATCTTCTTTTGGCATAAGATTTTCTGAGCCTTAATTGAAAAATCTGTGCATCCTCATTTTGAAGGTTGAAAGTTCTTATCTTCTGTCCTGACCTGGTCTGGTTTTGTTTGCATTTCTCCCCCCCTCCACCTTGTTTTGGAGGCTTAAGGAAAAATGCTGTATTCAGGGGAGCTGCAGTCTGGTAACTGCAGAAATTTCTTTTCCTCCCATCCTGAAGCATTGGCACAATGGTCAATGTATCTCTCATGGGTAAAGGCACAGCATGCTGCAGAAATGGGACAAAACCTAGCTGGATAGCTGGATCATTGCAAAGCTGAGCCCTCATCTCAATCAGCAGCTCTTGTTTTCTGCTTCTGTTTAGGCATCCAAACCATTCTGCCTCCCCTAATTTGATTAGAGATTAATGTGCCTAAGCATATGCTGCTTAAATTTCCCTCCACTTCCTCCTAGCATTTGTGGTTGTCTGTACTAGGAAGGCACAATTAGTAACATGGTGCTAATGGTACCACATTTGAACTGCCTGATTAATGGCTTGGTTTGCGTGTGCCACAGATCTGTGTGAAGAGGAGGAATTCAAAGTGTTACTTCTGGAGTTGAAACACAAACACGATGTGATCATGAAGTCTCAGATGAGACATAAGTCCTCCCTGAGTCGAAGGACCTCCAGCACTGGCAGCCGGGGGTAAGTTCATTGTTCCCTGCACTGGCTTGGCCACCCAGATGTGGTTGCAGAGCACCGTGCAGTCAGCATACAGAGAACAACCTGTCTGTCCTTCCTGAATGAACTCTGAGAGGGAGAGGCTGACTTCTAGTAAGACATTGCTCCTTTGAAGAGTGGTCTTTTCACTAGAAAAAGGTGTTGTTTCTTGTGGGGAAAATGGCTCAGCACTGTTGTAGTTTAAGAACTCCTCTGAGCAGAGGACCAAGTGGTGAGAATTTACCTTGTTAAACCACTGGTACTGGTATTGGAGAATCAGTGCTTCAAGTGGATTAACTTGAGCTTCTCAATAAGCTGTCTCATGGCCAAGGCACAGTTTGCACAGGTCTTTATAAGATGTTTACTAGACTCTAAATCAGTCCTGCAGACCACAAAACTCCTAAACAGCCCATGATCCGTTTCCCTCTACATTTACTCCACTGGTTGCAGAGTAGATCCATTAGGTGAGCTGTATGAGATCTAACACAGATTCACAGTACTACTTTAAAACTCCTTAAAATTCCTCCCACCTTTAACATCCACAGTCATGCCTTTGCTCTGTGTGGGTGCCAGGAAGCTGAATTCACGTTCCATTCCCGTGGGAGAGGCTGTGAAGCGCAAGGAGGAGGTGAGAAGAACAACAGGGTAAGATGAAATGTCTTGTCCTGCTCACAGCTGCCATTTCTCCCTGTCCCACAGGAAGGTGGTGAGGAGGGCCAGCCTTTCGGACCGAACAAACCTTTACAGGAAGGAGTGCGAGAAGGAAGCCATCGTCTGGCAGCAACTGGGGGCAGCAGAAGAAGGAAGAAACTCAGGTCTCATTGGGGAAATTGGAGAGACTCGGCCTGACCAGGAGAATACAGACCCTGTAAGGAATCTCTTCTCTATTATGGGAGTCAATGGCAATGGGTGCCCTGGGATAGAAGGTGGCTGAAAAATTTGTAAACTTCATCCACCAGATGTGAGCAAAAGACCAAATTCTCATTTGGTTTTAACTAGCATATCCCACTCACGTGGCAAGGCTGTTTGTATTTACAGCTGCATAAACAGTTTTGAGATAGGGCCCGGGTGAACCAGGAAGTTCAGAGGAAAATAGCAACTGAGTTTCTTTTTACAGCTAACAAAGTGGTAATCGCGAAAGAACTGTAATCTGCTTTTGCAGTTTTGTTTTTAATTCATTTATTGTCACGTTATATTAGTATGCTTATCTATCTGATTATTGGGATTTTTTTGAGTCCTTCTGAGTTAACGTTTTGTGTTCCTGGTTGGAAACCAGCTCCTGGTTGGGCTCATAGCATTATAGCATCCTGTTAGTGGATGAATCCAATGTTTGTGCTGCAGTAGCTGTCTTGTGGAAGGGCTTAGTATAACCTGGCTTAGGACGTTTTTACAGGGATAAACTGTGTTATGAGGGATGGGGAAGATGCTCTTCTTTCATGTCTTCTTGTTACAGAATTCCGTGCTGGAGAATTCTTCCCTCCTTCCGGAGTTGGCAAACAAAAGCACCCAGTGCGACACTGAAATCCCCCTCCAGAATGGACTCATGGCAACTGCCAGCGCTTACCAGTACAGCTTTTCCAACGGGGACATCTGGAGCATGCATGCTGACCCTGAGAGTAACCCAGGCCATATGCTGCCCTATGGCAACCCTGGGCTCCCCGACACGCAGCAGTTCTGGGGTGCCTACAAGGAGCACAACCACCAAACACTCTCCGAACTTAAGCGGCAGCGAGCTGCAGCCAAGCTCCTCAATCACCCCTTCCTCAGCACCCACTTCAGCAGTGGCGTCGGAGGAGTTGCTGAGAATGGGGGTGAGGCCAAGTCGCACCTAATCGGATCCAGGACTTCTCCCTACAGCTCCAATGGGACCTCTGTGTATTACACAGTGTCCAGTGGTGATCCACCTCTCTTGAAATTCAAAGCTCCCATGGAGGAAATGGAAGAGAAGGTGCATGGGTGCTGCAGAATTTCCTAGTCTCATCTGTTTCTTGCCCCAGATGAAACAAGACATGGGTGGGCTGGTTGGATCTATCACTGTGGCCAGGTTGTTTGCATTCCAAAGGGAGAATTTGGTTACGGACATCGTGACTGGGCCAGTCTTGGTCATCTTGAATTGTACTTTACCCTGCCAATTACTTCCATTGCAGCTGAATGAGTAATGCAGGTGGAGCAAGGATCTTAGGAGAGGAAGGGATGCGCATCGATGTGATGTAAAAAGAGGTGCCCTCGTCTTCCTCCCTGGGGAAGAAGGTATGGTGCACTGCCTCCCCGGCCTTGGGAAGTCATGAGATGCCTTGCAACAAAGAAAGGATCTGAATTAAAATCTTTGCATCTGAGCCTCTTGCTGTAAGTCACCGAGCTTCTGGAAGGTGACAGTTCAGACCTGAATTTTCACTCTTGGGTGATGTATATATCTTTGCGGGTAGATCAACCGCTGCACAGGGTTTTGCAAGAGTGGACAGAGCTGTTTTCCATACAGCTGGATCCAGCATTTACAGGGCCTGAGCAACAAGCAAGCATAGATACTGCACTTGCTTTAGGAAGTTTGCAAGGTGTTATCTCCTTGTAGTGACAGCTTACTATCAGGAACTGTGCACTTGTTGGGTCCTGTTCTGCTCATGTGAACTTGTCACAGCAGACTGCCATCAGGTTTAAAGCAGAACTTTTTGTGGAACAGGCTTCACTCAATAGGCTTTAAAACTGATGTTGCAATAAGGGGCCCTGGCAATATAATTTTGCTGCAATAAAGTACTGACAAAGTTCTATATTGGGATATGTAATTTAAAAACCTTATTTGTACTATTTAGACTCTTAATCTGTTAAAACTGAAAAGACTTTTGCTGATCTCACTTTCCTATTGATTCTGTTTATTTAATCTGTATGCTCAACACAGATACTAGGGGCAGTATGCTTTGTGATCTGATTTTTCTGGATTTCCAGAACCACAGAGCTCAGGAAGGATGAGGAGGAAAGACTTGCCGACACTAATCTAGAAATGCCATGAAAGCATTTCTGATCTCCCTCGATGTTACAACACTTGCACTAACCTGCAGTCTTTGATAAATAACTGTTAAATCATTGCTTAGGTAGTTGAACATTGCAGCAGAGCAGGAGATTCTTTTTTTTCTGTTTTCCAGCTCCCATGCTGAAGTCAGCAGTGATTAGTAGCTGTCAGAAGAAGACTTAAATGCCTCTGCATATAAAGGAGTTACCCAGCATCACGTTAGCCAAGCCTCTCTGCTGTAGAGACACCAACACCAGTGGCCTAGGGTAGTTCCTGTTAGCTGAGAAACACCAGCATGGTATAACTGGGGTTATAACTGGCTCTTCAGCAAGTTAAGGCTCTGCATACCTGGGGGAGGCGAGAGTGCTCTATGGGAGACAGCTTTGAGGAACTGGCTGCAGTTAAGTTAGTAAGTTGTATCTTCAGAAGTAACTCTAAATCTTCAGCTCTTTTTCTGCACAGAGGGTCTATTGCACATGTAACTATTGGTCTGCATGATTATGTGTCTTCTCGGGCAGTTTAAATTCCAAACTCTGAAAACATAAGCCAGTGTGGGTCTCTGTAAGCCATCAGGGGATTAAATCCAGCTCATGTAGTTGTGCTTCAGCCAAGCAATAGCAAATGCAGCTTCCACCAATCTTCCTTTTAGCTGGCGGCTCTTAGGCATCAATATTAGACTTCACATGTACACTTCCCCTGTGGGAATCCTCACAGCCTTCCCTTTTTTCTAGGCTATCAAAAGTTGACTTAGCTGGCCAGTGACTGTTAAATATCCCCTATCAAATCTAGCCCATCACTGAGGCTGGATATTTTATGGTACAGGGCTCTGGGCTCCTAATTCTCAGCTCCTTGAGGCAGCAGAGATGACTGTGTCACCACCACAACCATGCCTTGCAGGAAACACTTTTGGACCTGTGATGTTATTACCAGGCTGACAATTTACTCTTTTGAACTCTGAACATACAGTTATCTTCCCTTGCCATTTTTAGGAACAAATTAGAAAATGAGAGCAGTTGATCTGATGTTTTTAAAACCTCAGTTCAGTTAAAGGCAGGGGTTTCCTTTGTATGTCTTGAAACATTCAGAGAAGTTGGACTTCTCCATTATTGAAATGCATATGCTAAATATAAGACTAGAAAATATTCTTGTGCTTGACTTAACCTTAAGGGACTTTAAAAGTCATTCTCTGGTAGAAAGAAAATGATGTGGTAACTGGACAGACTTTACTGCATCTGTGTCTGGTTAACAGTGGGTGGTCTGGTTACCTTGAGAAAACTCTTCTGGGATAACACCAAGCTATCCCAGGTGTTACTGAATGCAAGGTGTTGTCTCCTTGCAGTGACAGCTTACTGGGTGTTACTGAATGGGAGAGACGATCTTTCAGACACCTCTGTTCTCCCATGGTGGTGGGGGTTGTCTCTCCACATCCATCCTAATGAGAATTCTGGACTCAGCGTAACAAATTTTGGTGCTGCAAAATCTGGGTCCAGCTGATGCCTTCCCTCCCAGAGAAGGAGGATTTGGGCCCTTTTCCTTCTCAGAACACTTTTGTGCTATTGAGCGTATCGAATCCTGTGTAACTCCAAGCAAGTGAAGTAGTTTGAGGCTTGCTTTCACTAAGAGTCGTTAATACATTAAAGTTGCAGGAAGCCAGCCCATTTTAGACAAACAGCTTTTAGTCCATTGGTATTTCACTCTGTTTATATGTAAAACTCCAGGATCTCACCGCTCCAGCTGTGATCTTGAGCAAACCAACACTTGATTTACTATCAGGCAAGAAATATTACAGGTTCTAGGTTACAAAGCATCCACCTAATTGGATTTTTGTATTGTCATTGTAAAATTGATTGGCTGTAATACTGGCTTTATCACTGTAAGCTAATGTGCTTATGGAAGTGTAGTGCTGTCTGATCAAATGTAATCAATTCTTATCCAGATGAGCGTGTCACTAATTGATAAATCTCCCAGGATATGTTTCACAGCTATGCCAAGTATTTACCTACCATTGGCTTTGGAGTCAGGTTGCATCAGAGGGGGACTTGTAAAGGTTGTTGTAGAGTGACCTAGAATGGATTCACGCTTGTGTTGGTGACATTCTGGCTATAATGGTCACTGTCTCTGGGGCGCTGGCACACATGCTCCGGGAAGGAGCTGGCTGTTCCTGCTGCATGCAGAGTTGTTGATTGTAGGCCTGGGGTGAGCAATTCTGCAAACTGGATATTTAACCTGCTTCTGTTTTGTAGAGTTTTAACTCTTTTGTTAAGAGTTTTGTGGAGACTAACAGGCTTTTGGGGGATTGATAAACACATAGATACTCTTACATGTGCATTGCAGGAGCCTACTTCTAGGAATAGGGCTTTGTAATTATAAAATTTAGAAGTGTTACAACAACAGTGGTTTTTTTATATATGTGTTTTAATGGCCATCCCAGTGGAAAGCTCTGAGGTACACAACAAAAGGCACTTGGCTATTTCACTGGATCTTCTTATTGCTAAAAAGTTGTAGAAACTAGAAATCATGCTGTGATATCTAGGACTTGGCTTATTAGAGGAAGAGCTGGGGAGTTTTAAGCTGTACTCAGTGGGTTTAGACTCAAACATCTAAGTACAGATTCAAGATCAAGGTAGAACCCCACTTTTGTTAGCAGTAAGCCAAAGGTTGTAGCTGTTCATACAGATCATGCGAAGATTTGAGAACATAGATGTATTGATGTGTTTATTGTAGGCAGAGCTGCACATGAGAATAACCCTTCTAATATCAAAATCTTCCTGCATGGTGAAGTCGTGCTGTTTCGAGCAAACTCACTGGTTGGTGAAAGCAGCTTTACTTTCCATGTTGAAAGACTCTCTTTAGATGGAAAGAAGGATCTCTCAGAATAATGTCTCTGCTTTACTGAGCTCAGTCAAGAAAGTCCCAGCAATGAAATGTTAGACAAGGGCTGAAGTACCATTGCTGGGATCTGTTTGACGTCAGAACTGGATCTGTACTATGTGATGCGATTTTAGCCCAGTCTCACTTCTGTGGTGCTCCAGAATCTTAAACCTCTCCCAATATGGGGAAGAACTGACTCTAGCTGATGTGATTCTGTACCATCTTGTAGGTGTGGTTGAAGAACCACATGGATGAGGAACGCCTGGTAGGGAAGGAGAAGACCATGGCAGGGCCATAGCAATAATGAACCAGTGCAATACTCAGTGGAGGCAGCGAATTCTCTGGTTTATTGAGAAGGGTCTTGTTTCATGGAGCTGAAAGCACTTACAAGCTCCTGAATGGCATTACAACTTCTGTTTAGTGTCCTTTGCTTTAATCTTGGAGCTCTGTTTACCCAAATTTTCTCTGCTGAAACTAAATCAGCAATACTATGAAACAGGAATATCTTTACCAAGAGTGTAATAGCACTGGTCTCCACTGAGCCATAGATGAACTGTTGTCCATCAGCTGGAAGGTGTTCTCCTTATGTCTGGATATTTCTGTGCCTTATTGTACTTGCTAAAGGTACCTCGGTAACTAGTCTCTGGAAGGTTTGTGGGGACCATACAGTGCTGTTCTTTAACTTGGAGACTGTTTTGCAAGGGAATAGCAGTTCAGGGCATACTGGATTTTGAAGTTTTTATTTGCTCTTTCAATTTCTTTCATGATCACCCGTTCTCTCTTCCTACATACACAGAAAGGAAATGCGCAGGGTCTTCATTCTAATTTAACAGATCACATTGACTTACTTTGTTCTAGCAGTTCACCCCAGGTAGAGTCCAGAACATGCTTGTAGTAGCAAGCTCTAGCCTCTTACTACAGAACACAGCTAGTATGTACATCTTTATTTTGTTTTGCCTGTGGCTGTACAACAGAATTTGTTGTCGCTGGTTGTTCTTGAGCTTTATTCTGCTGTTTTCATGTTGGCCAAACTGGTAATGGACTTCTCGGTCCCCCCACGTGATTCAAGTACCACTGGGTTCTTCAGGCACCATCTGCCATGGCACAATTACGACCTAGAATATTGTACTATATTGTAACTGCAGAAGCTGTAGTAGAAGAGACTCTGCTCAAGGTGTCTGTTCCCAAACCTACACCAATGCACTTATCTCCACCCACTGCTGGAGGGGAGATACGGGTTTTTAAACCATGCAGATGCAGCCTTAGTATTGCCACCTCTACGTCTTCAGCCTATAGATTGCAGTGTGAGAATGGACTACAGGAGTGTCGGTAACCCTGGTACAGCTTGGTGTGACTGCTGCATGTACAGCGTATTAACAAATGATGGCAAGCCTTCTGCAATAACTCATAATTCCATCGATCAGTAGTAAATGATGTACAAATAAAACTTGATGATATGTATTTTATGTGGAAAAAATAATGTAAGGACTGTATATTGTATTAGCAGCTTTGTGTATAAAATGGCATTTTGGCAATCAGAGTCTAATATATTTAAAACTTTTTTTTAAAAAAAGGATATTTGATATTGTACGGAATTGACTTTATTGCTACTGTAAGTATGAAAAGATGGTTTCTTAACATGTTGAAGCAATGCATAAAATCTTAAATTGTATGTAAAACTCATGCCAAAAGGGTATGTCTGACAGTATTAGCACCTGACTCAGTGTCTTTAATAGAGATTGAATTTTTTAATTTAAAAAGTATATTAAATTTCTTTTAATAATACAAAAATGCTACTGACGTTTATTTAATTGGTTTGGCCTAAACATCTGTCTCTGCCTCCCTACAACCATTAAGTGCAGCCAGGAACTGCCTAGAAGAGTAAATC